ATGTTAATGTCCTATTAATTCACGGAAGCTTTTAGGTACAAAATTTTGCTCTTAGTACAGTCTCAAATTGTACTCGGTCTGATATTTTCTATTTTTTATACATATTTTTTAGCATGTTATAGTACACATAAGTAAAAAGTATTTACAATTAAAATTTAAAATAAAGTATTACCAAGGGTGGCATATTGGTTGGGCTATTGTAGATGTACAAGCTATTTAGGTTTTCTTATCTCTTATCTTAAGTGTAAATTTCGCAATTGTCTTGAAGGTCACATTATGTAAATTTAAGCCATGGTTAAATATGTCGATGTAGCTTATTTCCGTTAGAATTAGTTAAAATCTGGCCTTCAGGGGGCATGATGCCATGAAAGACTCTTGATCCAAGGAATTAGACCTATTACCCTTTTGTTGAATCAAACCTAATTATGTCGGTCTCCAGGTACTGTATAACCCCTAAGGTTTAGCTGTTTTAAAAGAAATATCTTTTTTTGTGATTTTTATTATTAATTAACCCAAATAAATTTTCAGTACATGTATAGTATAGGCTAAATTTTGCCTGAGGATGCTATGCCTTCTTTTGGGGCTTAAGTTTTTGTATGTCCTGTGCAGTAATTACGGGAAAAATTTGATTAGCATCTGCATTTGTATTTGACCAATGTTAATAACCACAAATGTTGGAGCAAATTGTCTAAGTAAAACTTGCAACAAATTGTTCTTTCAAAAATTCCACTAAGGCTTCCCAAAATGCCTTTTCTGTTCCAGTTTTTAAACTTTGTTTAGAGAAAAGTTTATTTTTATTTTATACAATAAATTGCACACATTTTGGAACCAATGTATAAATTTATAATGCCTGTAAAATTATATAGCTCACCATGGATTTGATCTCCATCTGTTCTGCGACATATTTTTTGAATGACTCGCATGACAGGAAAAAAGACTTAATTATTGCATCCTATTAAAGTAAAGAAAGAGGTATACATAAACGAGTGTCTTACCAAAAAAACGTCAGAACCTCCTGTATAGAGTCAGAAAACTTGAGCGGGAGAATAATGACACAATACACCAATGCTTCACACGGGATGGGAAAATTCTTGTTAGGAAAACAAATGTAGGTCAACTGTACACAATCACGAAGGAGAATGATCTATCACGATTTCTCAGGGATACTAAATGTTACAGAGAATAACTAAACAATGTCCAACTTAAAAGCCTACGTAGTGTAGTGTATGTTTTGCTCCATTATTGTTCAAATTTCATTGTACAATCTCTTAGTAATTAAATAAATCAACTAAAAACAAACAGACATGCCCCACTCCACAAAGGGGGGCAGTAAAGCAACAGCAAAGAACTACAGACCAATAGCACTAACATCCCATATCATAAAAATCTTTGAAAGGGTCCTAAGAAGCAAGATCACCACACATCTAGAAACCCATCAGTTACACAACCAGGGCAACATGGTTTAGAACAGGTCGCTCCTGTCTGTCGCAACTATTGGACCACTACGACAAGGTCCTAAATGCACTAGAAGACAAAAAAGAATGCAGATGTAATATATACAGACTTTGCAAAAGCCTTCGACAAGTGTGACCATGGCGTAATAGCGCACAAAATGCGTGCTAAAGGAATAAACAGGAAAAAGTCGGTCGATGGATCTATAATTTCCTCACTAACAGAACACAGAGAGTAGTCGTCAACAGAGTAAAGTCCGAGGCAGCTACGGTGAAAAGCTCTGTTCCACAAGGCACAGTACTCGCTCCATCTTGTTCCTCATCCTTATATCCGACATAGACAAGGATGTCAGCCACAGCACCGTGTCTTCCTTTGCAGATGACACCGAATCTGCATGACAGTGTCTTCAATTGCAGACACTGCAAAGCTCCAGGCAGACATCAACCAAATCTTTCAGTGGGCTGCAGAAAACAATATGAAGTTCAACGATGAGAATTTAATTACTCAGATATGGTAAACATGAGGAAATTAAATCTTCATCAGAGTACAAAACAAATTCTGGCCACAAAATAGAGCGAAACACCAACGTCAAAGACTGGGAGTGATCATGTCGGAGGATTCTCACCTTCAAGGACCATAACATTGTATCAAATGCATCTGCTAGAAAATGACAGGATGGATAATGAGAACCTTCAAAACTAGGGAGGCCAAGCCCATGATGACACTCTTCAGGTCACTTGTTCTATCTAGGCTGGAATATTGCTGCACACTAACAGCACCTTTCAAGGCAGGTGAAATTGCCGACCTAGAAAATGTACAGAGAACTTTCACGGCGCGCATAACGGAGATAAAACACCTCAATTATTGGGAGCGCTTGAGGTTCCTAAACCTGTATTCCCTGAAACGCAGGAGGGAGAAGATACATGATATATACACCTGGAAAATCCTAGAGGGACTAGTACGAACTTGCACACGAAAATCACTCACTACGAAAGCAAAAGACTTGGCAGACGATGCACCATCCCCCCAATGAAAAGCAGGGGTGTCACTAGCATGTTAAGAGACCATACAATAAGTGTCAGGGGCCGAGACTGTTCAACTGCCTCCCAGCACACATAAGGGGGATTACCAACAGAC